TGCTGCACCATGTGGGTAGCTCCCTGGCCGGGGATTGAACTCAGGCTGCAGAGGCTGCAGATAGCTTCATAGTGCTGTGCTTAACCCCTTGCGCCACCAGGGGCACCTGCCTTCTATTTTAACACCATATTGAAATATCTCTCTAAGATCAAAAAATCTCATGTAGATTTCTTAGTTCTTATTTTTTTTTTATATTGCTGAGAAATAGCACACTACTTTCGCAAGAATTAGTAAAGATGCTAAATCATAAAGTGAAGAATTTCTTGAAACATAATTACTAAGTATATACATGAGAAAGGAAAAATGTATAGTTACATAATAGATGAGCACCAAAACTGTAAAAGTGACAGTATTCCAGCAGACTTCTACTTTTTTTTAAAGATTTATTTATTTATTTATTTATTTATTTATGCAAGCACTGGGAACAGTCAGAAGCGCAGGAGGGTGAGAGAGGTTTCACCAGAGACAGAGTGGGGAACAGAACAGACAGATTGACGAAGTACACTGCTGAGGGGAGCAGCAGGTGGCAGGAGAGGTCTGTGTGCCATGTGGGACCCTCTAGCAGCTTCGAAGCCCAGGGCCCAACCACTGCAGCACAAGGGGAGGCCCCAGACTTCTATTTAAAGGCATATTATACTTCCTAACTGTTGATTCCAAGCAGTCAATTACCAGTTACTGAGGCACATGTGAAAACCTTGCCATCCAACACATATATTAGCTCCCCTTCCTACTGGGGTTAAATATAGGTAATGGTGGCAACAAATCATTCTGGAAAAAGACAATAGCCAGAATGGTTACACAACTTTAGTCTTTCAATTTCTTAAGCCCAAACCCTGGAATTATCCTTCAATTTTCCAATTCTCTTGTAAGTCTCACACAATTCCTCTTTCTTAAGACATGCATATGCATAAAATTAAAGTCTAAATGAAATAGCTAGTGAACTAGTGAAAATGATGTGTGTGTTTCTAAAAAAAACACAGAATTTCTCCCCTCAATGAGACAATTATAACAATGGCATGATTTTACCCCTTCCAACAAAAATCACTTAATATGCATCATCCTAATTCATAGAAATCTATGCAGAATAATCCACGGGAGAATGTAGGTTCTCAGGTCAGATTCACGCCTCAGCTCTCTTTCCTTCTAGCTGTGCCATCTTGAGTAAGTTGCTTTATCTCTCTATGTCTCAGATTTATCACCTCCACATTAGAAACCACCTCACAGGACTGACAAGAGGATGAAGTGAAGCAACAGATGTAAACTACTTAGGACAGTGCCTAATAGAGAAATGTTTGACAAGTACCAACTGAGTAAGGAGAAAGTGAGATAGAAAATTACAAGTGCTAAGGGACTATGGTCACAGTTCATGGGTGATGTGGTGATAATAGATTTATGGGGACAACACCTGAGGGGCGAAATCAAATATTGTACAAAAATGAACAACAATGTAAGAAAATAAAAAAAAATACAAAAAAGAAAATTACAAGTGCTCAATAAATAAGCAAAGAGAGAGAGAAAGTCTCGTGATGATGTTACTAAAATCAGGGTGTATCTACAAAGGAATAAGTGTAATTGCTGAGGCATTGACCTTTCTTTTCATTCAAAAGTTAGTCAGAAAGCTGATGGTGGGGAATTTTGTACTTGAGCCACACCTTGTTAATAAGATAAGCACAGAGTAGAAGAAATGATTGATTATGAATCATGACAAATCAGTTTATGTCATTTTAGGAAACATTATATGTCAAACATTTTGAGCAAACAAAGAAAACATTGTTTCATGTGTTACCTGTTAAAACAGTGGACCCAAAGAATAAATATGCTTCTTTTTCGCACATAACAAGATAAGAAATGACTCATGGTTACAAGAAGAATCATGCTTACTGTTTGTAAGTGTTTTCTGATAAATTCTTACTCTGCTATTATCATGCTAATCCTTGAGTTTATTTAAAAAGAGGGGAAAATGGAAATCAATGAATTGATAACTATCCTTATTAAGTAACCATTGTTTGCTTTTCACAATGACAAAGCACTTCAGTTACATGCTTTGATATACTCTTAAAAACACTAATGTAGATATTATTGGATTAATTTTCCCTATGTTGCTTAGAAATGGCATCTAAGACCTTAACCTAAAAATTTGCAGAACTAAGCTTAAAGCCAGGTCAAACCTAGGCATTCGCCTACTGCACCATACGTTTCATTCTGGCAATTGTGTTAGTATCAATTGTGATATTAACAAATAATTTTCTAGTTGGAAAAGATGAAATTTCCTGACATCTATGTCACAGACTTTATTTATTTAAATATTTATCTAAAAAAAAAAAGGTTTATTTATTTATTTATACAAGAACTAGGGTACAAACCAGATGCCCGGGAGGGTGAGAGGATTCACCAGCAACAGAGCAGGGAACAGAACAGGCAGACTGACGAAATACACTGCTGAGGGGAGCAGTAGGCGAGACAGGAGAGGTCTGCTGAGCCATGTGGGTTAACTCCCAGGCCGAGGATGGAATTCATGCTACAGTGGCTGGTGATAGTTTGATAGTGAGACTTTAACATCTGTGCCACCAGAGAGGCCCTATGTAACAGGCTTTAAATATTAGATTTTTTTAAACTTCACGAATAGGTAGGTATATACAAATGAATATATTTATGAAATTACAAGAAAGTAAATGTATTTTCACTTTAGCAATGATTGTATGGCTCAATACTTACATTTTGGCAGCTAATGTACAATTTTTAACAAAATGGAAATAACGTTTTGGAGAAAAGTTGAATATTACAGGACATTTGCAAAAACAAATAAGCTAAAGTCCATTTTAATAGGGGTTATTTGCAATGATATTCACAAGTATTGATTTAAAATATTTGATTAGAAACCTGTAATTCATAAATGATAAATATGCTCCTTTTTTCTGGTCAATGATACAAACACAAATAGAAAAAATAATAAATTCATTCTATTCTCCCATCCTTCCCTTCTGAATAAATAATTTTGATGTGTATCTTGGCACATATTTTCTACATTTATATTTAAATACACCAATATGTAAAGAATATATAGGGGGCCAAATTATATTACAAAATGTTTCACATTATTCTGCTACTGCATTTTTAAACTTAAATATAATATTTTCCTCCAGAGCAATATTTTAAACCTTAACTAGTGATTCTTAACTCATGCTGCAGATTAGAATCTCTTGGGGAGCTTAAAAAAAATAGAAATTGCCAGAGCCCTACCCCCAGAGATTCCAGTTTAATTGGTCTGGGTGGGGCCTTAGCATCAAGCTCCCCAGATGACTCTGAAATGTAGCTAGTTAGATTTAAGCAATCCAAACTGGTAGCAAATACAGACCCCAGTCTGAATTGCCTGATATACATCCTCTCACAAAAGTCCTCTGCTAGGAACTGCAGTGGTACCGATTGGGAAAAACTAGCCTGGCTGGCTAGAAGATGGGAAATTTATTTCATCTCAAATCAGGCTGGGGACAAAGGACTACAGAGAGCTAGTATAGCCAGGAACAGTCTGCTGCTAAGCAGTCTGCAGCTAGGCTGGCTAGGTTTATTCCCAGAGTTGTCTAAACTCTAATAGAGATTTGCCCATACCTGTAGTAGTAGGTTTCCAAATCTGGCATCGCAGGAAACCACACCCAGAACTTGTTTCTCCCGATCTGGGAGAGGCAACTTCTCAGTGGGTGCAGGGACTGGTTTGGCCTCCCTAGTTCTACCTGAGAGTTTTTGGATTTCCCAAGCAATTCCATGTGTCTGTCTGGGGAGCTCTTCCCTGATAGGAAAACAAACATTGGTTTGATCTCTTACTTCACTCTAGCAACACTTTTGAGAAAATGGAAGACATAGGCACAAAATAGGAGAGATATGGAGGTTTTTGCCGCTCCTTTTGTTGTAGAAATAAATTCTAACCTTTTACCCAGGCAAAGGAAGAACAAGCAGTACTTCAGGAATGCTGAGGTCAGCAGCAGCTTTATTACTCATGCATGAGGTCCCAAGCCTGGGTAGCCCCATGAGATCTGAGCACCAGTTTAAAGACCAAGGGTTCCTTTTATACACAACTGTGTCTGTATCTGTTACATTAATAACATCGCCTTTCAGCAGGCACAACCATTGCTGCAAAGTCCCCAGACAAGGGGGGCAAGGCAAGAGGGGAAAGATGCAGGCATTTGGGGATGGCCTTGGAGAGAGAGACCAGTTTGGCCCACTGCCTGACCTTGCAGATGAGAGTGCTGAGGCCCTGGCCATGAATCTTGAAAGGCAAGGCGGTGTAAGTAAGCAAACATCGATTATGCCCGCGTTGGGGTGTTCATTGCACCTGGGCTGGAAGTTCTGCTGGAATATTTATTATATTCATTTGCTCAATAATATATTTTAGCTTCACTTTTATTTTTGTTTCAGCGGAATGAAAAAATTGGCAACCAGTGATGATTAGGTTTTGGTTTGAATTATTACCACTGTTGGCCTTTGCTTAAAGCAATTAGTTGATCAGCAATTCTGTGAGAGCAGACAGGTTATTGAAATTGATTTAGGAATAAAAAAATTTTTTTAGTTGTGTCTGTTAAGCATATGGACAAAACCACATTATACCAAGAGAGTGTGGGAGTTGAAGGCCAGGGAATGAGGAAAAAACACTAAATAAGAACTGTGATCTCTTTCTCAAGTTTTATTTTCTAGTTCTACAATCATAAATGTTTAGATCTGATCCCTTTACTCTCCAAAAAGTAATTGCCAAGCGTTTCAAGTCCAGTTACGTGGGTGAACCGTTAAACAGAATTTCAGCAAAAGAAGAATGAACCAAACCCTCAACCGCAGGCGATATGGACTGTAACGTGAAAGGCAGAGGTGGGACCAGGAGTCCATGGCGCCCGGCGGACAGCCTGCTCCGCCCAGCAGCAAGAGCCAGAGGCCAGCCCTGCCTGGCCCCGCCCCCTCGACCTCCCGGGGGGCGGGGCGACGCGCGATTGGCAGCTCGCGTTAGCCGGGGTTGAGTCCGCGGCGGCTGCACCACTAGGAGAAGGTCGCCGCAGCTCCCCGGGCTAGGGCTTCGGCTCTGGCGGTGCAGTTTGGGGTCTGTCTGAGAAGTGATCGCCTTTTTCCTAAGGCAGATGGCTGGCCTAGAAGCATAACCCTCCCTGCACCCCGGATTTGCGCTAGATTCTTCTCTTGGACTTTGCGACTTGTGACCAGCATGCTGTGATGTGTGCCCAGGGAGGAATTGGTAAGGGTCACGAGCGAATCCCTCTGGCCGTCCCCCTGCCCTCTGTGTCGTATCCACTCTCTTTTTACTCTTTCTGTTTCTTTTCCTCTTTCTGTTTCAACTCCCCATCTCGCTCACCCCCTCGATCTCTCCTTCCTGCAGAGGTTGGGTTTAGGTTTGATGAAGTGCCTCGACACTTGAGTATAAGACTTACTGAACTTACACAAAAAAAGAGAAGGTGAAGCAGTTGCACTATTTTGCAGTCACTTGATTTCAGAAGAGGAATTATTTTTATCTATTCTGAATGCTGGGTTTTGTAAAAAGGGAAAATAAGCGCGCACACACATACCCATTCATAAATTCCCTACCTTTGTCTAGCCAATGTGAAATGGAGTTGAAAGCAATTTCTCTCTCTCTCTCTCTCTCTCTCTCTCTCTCTCTCTCTCTCTCTCTCTCTCTCAAAGGTGATGAAGAGGATGTGTATTGAAATTGTAATACAGTAAATAAACCAAGGGTTGATTCATTAAGAAGAAAGGTGTTTGCGTTGGTGCTTGCTCAGGAATAGTTTTTAAACGAGTCCTACAATAAACTTTGTGTTCTTCCACACAAATACTAACTTGGAAGAACTTTGTTGTTGGGGCATCCTTCACTTCACCTTATAAACCGTGTAATTCTACTGGACCATGTACAGCACAGACGTTTGGTTAGTCAGTGAAACCCTTCAGTTTGGAGGATCTTATTGATGACTTGGGAGCTCCCGTGCCTCTAGAAAGCATATATTATATTTAAACTACTCTGAATCAATAAGGCATTTAACTCAGGTATTTAGAATGCGCTCTAAGTAAGACCAAAGTTTCTTCTTGTTGTTTTTTTTTTTTGGTTTTTTTTTTTTTCCTCACCCCAGTTATTTTGCAAGGAGAAAAGCAATTTCATAGTCTGAGAAAGTCTGACTCCACAGCCTTGAAAGATGGGTTAACAAAGTTAGAGGACTTCTTATCCTCCAGTATTACTGTATTGGAAAATAACTCCAGAGGAGAGAATTATTTTTAAATTGGGCTTGGTCACATTTCTATGACAGTATCATCTTAAAAAATACAAACTAAAAAAAAAAACTTTTTGACTTGTTAAGGACAGATAACAAACTATCATTATAACAGAGTAAACTCATTCAGTGCCCAACTGTTCTCCAATCTACCCCACAAGATGCTGTCTCCTCCTTCTAGACTCTTTCCTCATTACAAACACATATTACATACCTACACTGAGTTTGCTTATATCAACATGAGATCACACTGTACATGTTGAAAAATAATTGGCAACATTGGAAAAGCCTTAGGGAGTTTAAAAATAACATTTTAACAGCTAATTTAACATTTATTCAATTATATGGAAAAGATGGAGAATTTAAATGCCTAAAACAGAATGTCAAGGTTGTTTGACCTTTGCATAGCAAGAACCAGATACTTATTTGATATAATTATGTAGTGGCTAAATGGAAATTAAATGGGTTATGATTTATTTTGATGTCAATAAATGAAGGAAAATGCTCAGAATTTGATTTTAATTTACAATAGATTAGAGATGACGCATCTTTAAGGCCTTGAAAATCTAATTCAGAAATAAAAATGTAAAAAATATCGAATAGTCAGGCCTTTATTGCCTGTCTTACTCTCTGAAAGAAAATCAAAAACAATGCTACAAACAAGATCACTTGCAGAGTCTCAAAACCCAGTGTGTTGGTATAGATAATTTTAATAGCTTGTCAATGATTTTAAAAAGGAGGATCCATTTATCAAGACAAGGAATAATTGTGTATGTGTAGGATGCTTTTGCTATTCTTGTCAACAGTTGATAGTAACTGAGCACCTTTCCTTACTCCTTAGAAGAATTTTATTATGATTGTGTTGTCTTGGAAACATTGCTCCTCTTCTATTATCTTAGGTGGACTTACTTCATTTCAGAAATCATCTTAGCCATAAAAATAATGCTTTTCACAAAAGTAGTATCACTGTTAGAGTAAGAAGTAATAGTGATACTAGTTTCATAAGAATTGTGGCCTTACTGGAATTTTTTATGATACTCAATGAAAAGTATGTTGTGGTAATGACTTGGGAATATGTATTAAAACCTGTATGTTTTCACTGTCTTGGACTCAATCCTAGGTTTAGAAATAAGGTCTTGAGGAAAATACCTGAATTTCATTTGACATTTTTTATCTATGTTCATGGTGTTATCTGTAACTTGAAAAAATAGAAAATAAAGCCCCCAATAAAAAAAACTATTTTTTATTTTTTATTATTTATTTATTTTTTTATCATTTAAATTTTATTTTTATATTCCCCTTACAATTACAACCCCCTTATTTTGACCCCAAGCCCTCCTTTCCCCGCCCCCACCCCCCATAGAGTGTCTCTGGTTCATAGTCCAATAACAAACTATTTAAATAAATTAATCGACTATAATGATAAAATTGAGCTTCCAAAAATATTTTGAAGGAATTTAATATTTAGAAAGATGTTTATGATGTATTGAGTGAAAAAAAGCACTTAATACTGTATTATTGTGAATGTGCAAAATGTAATTTTGAAATAAATATGTATCAAATATCATTACTTAAATATTTGTTAAGTCTTACTATGTACCAGGCATTGTTCTATAGTAACAGATATTGGCTAACATTAGATAAAACTGTTTGTACTCGCTGTTGTTCCTGTTTTTATCAATGGTTCTATCCAATGATAAACACCAAAAACAAAGAGTGTAATGAATTTCTAGGTGGTAGAGTTATAGCTATTTATTTTCTTATTTTTTTCTGATATTCCCAAATCCTCTCTTCCAACTATTATTTTTATAATCACAAATACCATTTTGAAAAATATTGCAAAGAAATATCCTAAGAAAAATTAGAACACACACTCCTAGCTAGCTATATTATATATGCCAGAATGCCCTATTCGAAATATATTATCGAGAAGAGTGAGAGGTAGATGAACACCCCTAAGAAAAATGATCCCCAGTGAAAAATAGATATAAATAGCAACTCACAAAGGAAAAAAGATTCACTTGTATAAGGTTGGGGGAAAGGGATGTTGATCTACCAATAATGGAAAAAAATACTTAGCCTGGGAATACGTTACCATATTTTCACATATCACATTAATAAATATGGCAAGCAACTCAAAATAAATGAGGTTGTTGGGGAAGATTATTCAATGATATGAGGAATGGATAAAGGTAAGTTATAAAATGACATCTTGCAAAAATCTAACTTATGCTGGGCCTCCCCGGTGGCGCAGCGGTTGAGCGCTGGGTTGCGAAGCTGCCCACGGCCTCAGCGCCGCCGGTTCGATCCCCGGCTGCTCCCCGGCCACCGGAGGAGGGTCCCACATGGCGCGCAGACCTCTCCTGCCGCCCGCTGCTCCCCTCAGCAGTGTACTTCGGTCCTTCTGCCTGCTGTGCTCCCCGCTCTGGCTCTGGTGAATTCTCTCACCCTCCCGCTCTTCTGACTGTACCCAGTGCATGTATGAACAAGCAAAAACAAACAAATAAGTAAATAAATAAAAAACATGCCTCTATAAAAAAATAAATAAATTTAAAAAAAAAAAAAAATCTAACTTATGCTCAGAAACTTTTATTGATGAAAAATAAGCAAAGTACTAATAGTACTTATATTTGGGTAGTGGGATTATAGGTGATTTCTTCTTTTTTTTTAATGGCATTAATCTGTAGTTTCTAAAATTTCTACAATCACGTATTTTAGTTACCAGTAAAAAGTCATATCCTGTGCCTCCCCAGTGGCGCAGCGGTTGAGCACTGGGTTGCGAAGCTGCCCACAGCCTCTGCAGCGCTGGTTCGATCCCCGGCTGCTCCCCGGCCACCGGAGGAGGGTCGCACATGGTGCGCAGACCTCTCCTGCCGCCCGCTACTCCCCTCAGCAGTGAACGTCTGTCCTTCTGCTCTGCTCCCCGCTCTGGCTCTGGTGAATTCTCTCACCCTCCCGCGCTTCTGACTGTACCCAGTGCTTGTATAAATAAATAAATAAATAATCTTAAAAAAAAAAAAAAGTCATATCCTAAAAAAGCAATCTGTGCTAGAATGAAGAGCAAGCACATAAGAGGATGTTATCTTTCCCAATTTTCACAATGCCTCATTGTGTGCAATTCTATGTTTCTGAATTGTATTTGCTGGTGAAAACATTTGGATTATAAGGCAGGTCATCACAAATAAAGCCTCTTCTAGTCTTATTCGCTCTTCTGCCACCAGCTGTTTTCTGAAACAATCTGGGGAACTGCTTTGAGCTTTCTATTCCTGTTGGTCACATCTGCTGGGGTCTCATGCCAATAGGCCTTAATTAACTAATCCTTAATTTATTTTTCTAAACTCTACTTATTCCATTGAAAGCCTTTCTGAATACAGAACATGAGACAACTACAATCTTGTTAGGAAAAAAAGCCTATAAAATCTCAACCTTTTATGTAGGATAGGTAATAAAACCCATGTCTTGGTTATGACAAATGTTGAAAATCAGTTTTGAATCCTAAGATTCTGCAAAGTCTTATTCTTCAATCAATAGTACTAAAAATTACTTAGCGCTATTTTTCAACATCCCTTTCCCCTTATAGATTTTAATGAAATATCACAGATTATAGTAGAAATCTTAATTATAATGTAAATCTTAACTAAGGTCTTTCCTAGAGAGGTATTCTCAGATGTTTTCATCACAAGGATTCTCTCTACTTATATATCTTTTAGGCAATAAATCAACATTTCTAACTGTTAGATAATACCTGAATCAGAAGCATTATTATACTTCTTAAAATTCCCAAACCAAGGACTGAGAGAAAAGGGAATTTACTGAGTTTCAATCTGACTTCTGAATTGTCACATTTGAGTCAGATGTGTGCAAAAGAAGGGGTATAGTGATGTCCAGTTCCCAATTTGTCACATTTTTTTCCCCCCTGCTTGATTGGGTTGTAGTCACTACTTTATGTACTAATAGGGGGAAATGATGTCCTGAGCTA